TAAGGAGCTCAAATGAATTGACAGGGGGAAAAACCAAAAAATTCCACTAAAAAGTGAGCAAAGGACAAGAAGAGGCACTTCTCAAAGGAAGACACACAAGTAGCCAATAAACATAGGAAAAAATGTACAGTTAAACTAACCATCAGAGAAATGCAAATCTAAACTACAATGAGACACCACTTAACAATGGTAAAAATAGCTATCATTAAAAAGTCAAACAACAGGAGCTGGCAAGGCTGTGGAGAAAAGGGAATGCTTCTACACTGTTGGTGGGAATGTAAGCTAGTCCAGCCTTTACAGAAAGCAGTGTAGCAATTTTTCAAAGAACTACAAATTGAGCTACCATTTGACCCAACATTCCCACTCGTGGAAATATAATCCCAGGAACAAAAATCACTCTACCAAAAAGACATCTGCACTCATATGTTTACTGCAGCACTATAGCAAAAACATGGAACCAGCCCAGATGCCCACTGAAAGAGAACTGGAAAAGAAAATGTGTTGCATCACATGACGGACTACTATGTAGTCAAAAGGAGAACAAAATCATGTATTTTGCAGCAACATGTATGCAGCTAGAGACTATCATTCTAAGTGAACTACCACAGAAACAAAAACTGAATGCTGCCATGTTCTCATTCATAAATGGGCACTAAACATTGGACACTCAGGCACAAGGGCGGGAATAACAGATGCCAGGAACTGCTAAAGGGTGGTGGGGGGTAAGGGTTTCACAACCACCCATTGAGTAGTATGTCTAGTACTGGTGGGAGGGCTCACTAGAAGCCCAAACCTTGCCTTCATGTAATAATATTTATGCAGCAAATCCTCACATGTACTCCATGACTGTAAATTTTTTAAAAAAACAAACTACAATGAGATACCATCTCACACCAGTCAGAATAGCTATTACTAAAGAATAAAAAAAATAGATATTGGCGAGGCTGCAGAGAAAAGGGAATGGAATGCACATATACTTTGGGTGGGAATGGAAGCTAATTCAATCCCTGTGGAAAGCAGTTGGGATATTTCTAAAAGAACCAAAAACAGAACTACCATTAGGTCCAACAATACCATTATTGGGTATATAGCCAAAGGAAAAGAAATTGTTCCACCAAGAAGACACCTGTACACATATGTTTACTGCAGCACTATTCATAATAGCAAAAATATGGAATCCATCCAGGTACCCATTGATGGAGGGCTGGATAAAGAAAATGTGGTACACACGCTATAGATTACTAAGCAGTCATAAAAAGCAACTGAACCATGGAATTTGCAGCAACATGAATGCAGCTGGAGGTCATCATTCTACGTGAATTATGACAGAACCAAAAAACTGAATGTCGCATGTTCACTCATAAGCAGGTACAAAACACTGGCCACACAAGGACACAAGGGTAGGAATAACAGACACTGGGCGCTGCTAAAACGAGGAGGTAAGTAGGGGAAATAAGGAATGCAAAACCACCCAGTAGGTACCATGCTCACCATCAGGGAGTAGGGGAGGCTCATCAGAAGTACAAGCCTCACCTTCACACATTATACCTATGTAACAAATCTTCATATGTACCTCAAATCTATTAAAAAAAAATTAAAAAAATAAATTGCCTTGCTGCATTAGGTGAGCAATAAGACTATGAACATTTCAAATCAGGTATCTCAGTTTCTGCTTTTTTCTAATACCTCGAATACAGAGTTTAGGTCTAGGTAGTGATATGTAATATATACTTTATTGATTCCTGTTTACTATAATATCTTCAAAAAATAGGCTGTGGAAGGCATGATATTTAACAGTGCTGTTGACAGAAGTTTCTATACATACAAGTAAAAGAACATAGTAGTCTTTTAGTCTCATAAATAAACAAAATTAAAACTTCAACATGGAAAAAGTTTAGTAATTGGATTTAGAATTCAAAGTGCTATGGTCTGAATGCTTATGTGCCCCCCCAACTCAATGCTGAAATCTAATCCCCAGTGCAACAGTATCAAGAAGTAAAGTCTTTGGGAGTTGGTCAGGTTATAGGTCATGAGGGCTCTGCCTTCATGAATGGGATTTGTACCCTTATAAAAGAGATATAAGGGAGTGTGTTTGTCCCTTCCCCTATGTGGGGACACACAGAAGATGCCATCTATGAAGAAAGGGCTCTTATAAGACACTGAATTTACTGGTACCTTAATCTTGGCCTTCCCAGACTCCAGAATTATGAGCAACAAATTTATATTGTTTATAAATTAACCAGTGTAAACAATTTTGTTACAACAGCCCAAAGAAACAAAGACAGAAAGAAGAAAATTAGCAATAAAAAAATAAATTTTGTAAAAACAAGTTTCCAGTAAGTTAAAGAAAAATTACAGAAAGAATTGGAAATTCATAGAAATTCCTTCTTTAGAGAACCACAAAATTATGCCTGTGAAGATTTAGCCACTGAAATGGTTAGAAGCAAGGGAAGTGTAAGAAATAACTAATTGTATGAGTATATACTGTGAATAAGAAAAAGAAAAATCTCTATAAATACAACCTTGACAACTGTAACTACTGCCCCCTTTACTCATTAAACAAACACAAAAGACAAATAACCAGATTCTACTGTGCTTACAGGTGCCTTTCATGCATGTCATCGTTGAAGAACATAACTCAATGACCCGAATAGCAGAAGTTCCTGGTTCCTCTGCTGGTACTGTCAAAATGGAAATCTAAAAAGCAGAAACAAAATATCAGACACAGTTAGATTTCATTTCTATTCTTCTATCATTAGAATGTTGTTAACTTCCAAACTGAGTATCTTTTTAAAAGCATCCCTTGATGCCTGATAAAAATGGGCTTGTAAATATTTAATTTTGGAAGATAATTAAAAATGCACAATATATATTATGTTTATATAATTCTCATAGATAATAATTTCAAATATCTTTAATATTTATTAAATTTGTCATTTACTACAAGATGAGTATTCCTAACTTAAAATCCAAAATTCAAAATACTGCAAAATACATGTTTTTAGCAATGACATGATGCTCAAAGGAAATGCTCATTAGAGTGTTTTAGATTTGGGGATTAGGGATAAACAACTGATATACAGTAATGCAAATACTTCAAAATAAAAAAAAAATCTGAAATCTGAAACACTTCTGGTCCCAAGCATTTCAGATAAGGAATACTCAACCTGTATTTTCAAAGGAGACAATTATGAGTTATTAATTCTAAAATATATGTACTTTGGTGTTTGAAATTAAATCATATTAAATTTATTTGGATTATTCATAATGGCTAAAAATAGCAGTTAGAAAGCACTAAAAATTAAGTATATTACTAATCTCAGTGATATCAAAACAAGCAATCAAATAAATATACATCAACACATTTAAAAATGAATTATTTTAAATTAATTAAGGACTTCACTAATATAACTACAATCAGATTCTTTAAGACAAGTGAATTGGGACATCGCTTACCAGTTCTACTTAGAAGGAAGATTAAATTTACCAGAAAATGGTCAAGTTTTGAATGGAAGATAGAGGGAAGACAACAAGGATCTGTAAGAGCACCCGCACAAAGAAGCAGAAGTATACAGAAAGAAAGCAGTAAAAGTCTGGCTGAGATCGACCCCCAAGGAGCTCAGAGTCCCATGGAAAGAGTAGGTAGGAGTGTTTCTCTGTTCCCCACACTCCTTTGACAATCTCTGGACTGCTAAACTGTTAAATTCCTCTGCTCTCTTGACCCAAGGCAACACTACTGATGGCAATTTCAGAATTTCCCAGGAAGAGAACTGGGTGACAAGCTTGTGCAGCCATGCCGCATTTCACTCAGAGCCAGGCTGAGATGTCAGGCACCATATAGTTGTGCACCCATGGTGCTACTCCCATGCCTGGGGATAATCTGCCCTTGAGCCACTGCACCATCAGACCACCCACAGGCATACCCATAACTGGCTCTAACTTTGGGAAGCACAGGGATCAGCAGGTCCCTGGACTGTTGTGGGTTTCCTGGAGATCCAATACTCAGCACAGACTGCCCTTAAGGAAGGGGGAAGCATAGCTCACCAAAGACCCTCTTGGGACAAAGGAAACAACAGCACCAACTGCAGAAGGAGGCACCACTGATGCCCAGAAATGAAAATGGAGAAGGATCATCTCTTGTCCCCTGTTTCCTTCACAGTACTCTGCTACGGGCACAGCAGTGGTTTTTCTGCTGAGGCCCAGGGAGCATGTACTGAAAGAGAGACTTTTTGTACTCCTCTAGCGGCTGCATCCCTGCTGAAAGCAAGTGTGCTGGTAGAGGGCCCTTTTTGCAATTCTCTGGTGGCTCCACACCCACTGAGGGCACGCACATGCTAAAAGAAAGCACTTTTGTTTTGCTTCTCCAGAGGCTCCACTTCTGCTTAAAGCAAGAGTGCACTGAGTAAAAAGCTACCCGCCAGATCTTACTCTTAAGTGCTATATACTGGATGGCAGCCTGAACTACATCACCAAACAAAAATACACATCGTTATAACAAGCAGCAGCTGAGAAAGCCACCACATGAAACTATCTGCAACAGAAGGAATCACTACAGAGACTTGGCTCTCTGAAAGTACCCACAAATGATGCCAATTGATCATATAAAAACATTCCATGGTCATATCCTCAAAAGAAAAAAGAATAAAAAATTAAAAAGCCCCATTCAAACAAGAGTGAATTACACAACAACAACAACGTGCCAGTTTCTTTAGATGAGAAGGAATTAGCACAAGAACGCCAGCAGTACAAAAAGCTAGAATGTTTCATCACATCCATAGGATCACACTGGCTCCCTTGCAATAGATCCTAACCATACTGAAATTCAGAATATGATGGCAAGGAAACTCAACATGATCCAAGAAAAAGTTGAAATTCAATACAAAGAAGCCGGAGAAAATAAGCCATGAAAGATCATATAGCCATTTTAAGAAAGAACAAAATAGAACTTCTGAAATTACAAAATTCATTACAGAATTTCAAAACACAGCTGGAAATCTTAACAAAAGATTAGACTAAACAGAAGAAAGATTTCAGAACTTGAAGACCAATCCTGCAAATCAACCCAACAGAAAAAAATAAAAAAAAATTTTTTTAATGAACATAACCTAAGATAAATATGGGATTTTGTAAAGAGATCACACCTATGACTGATTGGCATTTCTGATAGAGAAAAAGGGAATGGAAATAACCATGGAAAAATATTCGAGGACATAATCCAAGACAACTTCCCTAAGCGTGTTAGAGAGGTTAACACACAAACACAAGACATTTAGACAACTCTTGCAAGATATTATATGAGATGATCATCTCCAAAGCACATAGTCAGACTATCTAAGACCGATGCCCAAGAAAAAATATTAAAGATACCTAGAAAGAAAGCTCAGATCACCTATAAAGGGAGACCCACCAAAATTAAAGCATACCTCTTAGCAGAAATCTTACAAGCTAGAAGAGACTGGGGCCCATTTTTAGCATTCCTCCCTACCTCATTCTATGAAACCAGTACCATCCTAATACCAAAGTTTGGAAAGGACACAAAACAAAACAATACAGGCCAATATGCCTGATGAACACAGAAGAAAAATTCTCAACAAAATACTAGCAAGCTGAATAGCAAGAAGATTATTCAACATGATCAACTGGGTTTTATGCCTGGGATACAAGGATAACTCAACATAAGCAAATCTATAAGTGTGATTCACCACATAAACAGAATTAAAAACAAAAACCATATGATCATTTCAACAGGCACAGTAAAGTATTCAATAAAATCCAACATTCCTTCATGATAAAAATCTTCAACAAACTAGGCATCGGAGGAACATAACTCAAAATAAGACAAATTCATAGTCAACATCCTACTGAATGGGCAAAAGTTGAAAGCATTGTCCCTAAGAAGTGAAGCAAGACAAGGATGTCCACTCTCTTGACTCCTATTTAACATAGTACTGAAAGTCATAGCCTGAGTAATCAGGCAAGAAAAAAAATAAAAAGCATCCAAATAGGAAAAGAAGATATCAAATTATCTCTGTTCACTGGCAATATGATTCTATACCAAAAAACCCTAAAGATTCCTCCAAAGGACTCCTAGACCTGATAAATGACTTCGGTAAAGTTTCAGGATATAAAATCACCATGCAAAAATCTGTAGTAGCATTTCTATACACCAATAACGTTCAAGTTGAAAACCAAATCAATTAACATAATTTCATTTAAAATAGCCATACCAAAAAATACCTTGGTATACATCTAACCAAAAAGTTAAAAGATCTCTACAAGAACTGTAAATCACTGTTGAAAGAAATCACAGATGATACAAACAAATTTAAAAAATTCCATGTTCATGAACTGGAAGCATCAATATCATTAAAATGCTCATTCTTTTTTTTTTTGAGTTGGAGTCTCACTCTGTCGCCCAGACTGGAGTGCAGTGGCCGCTTTCGGCCACCGCAGCCTCGACCTGCTGGGCTCCGGTGATCCTTCCGCTTTAGCCTTCCAAGTAGCCGGAATTACAGGCATACGCTACCACGCCCGGCTGATTTTTTGATTTATTGTAGAGATGAGGTCTCGCTGCCCAGGCGGGTCTCGAACCCGCGGGCTCAGCAATCCACTCACCTCAGCCTCCCAAAGGCGCGGGATTACAGGCTGAGCCACTGAGCCCGGCTAAAATGCTCATTCTTCCCAAAGCAATCCTATCATTGTAATTCCTATCAAAATACCAAAGTCATTTTTCACAGAACTAGAATAAGAAAATTTAAAAATTCATAGACGAGCAAAAAAGAGCCACGATAATTAAACCACTCCTAAGTGAAGAACAAAGCTGGAGGCATCATGTTACCCAACTTCAAATTATACCACAAGACTACAGTAACCAAAAAAGTATGATACTGGTACAAAAACAGACACGTAGACCAATGGAATTGAACAGATAACCCAGAAATAAAATCATATACCTACAACCATCTTTGACAAAGTCAGCAAAAATAAACAATGGGGAAAGGATATCCTACTGAATAAATGGTGCTGGAAAAACTTGGTCACCATATGCAGAAGAATGAAATTGGACCCCTACCCCTCACCAGATACAAAAATTTAAAAATAACTGTTTTTCTGTAAAGCCTAAAGTTTCCATATTAATCCCCAAACTAATCTTCAATCTGAAAAAATTACATCCTGTCAGGATACACTTGCCCAAAAGGAGAGCCCTATCTGCACTTTTCCTTGTAAGTGCTATGCTAGATCCTGAGTGAGAATATCACATTGTCCAAAGGGGAAACATGTATACAAAATTCTAAAAATAAGAATTATTTTGATAATCACAACCATCCTACTTGTATGTCCATTTTTGGGCTCCAGATGTCTCAAAAACTGAATTCTTTGTGTTCCTCTTACAGATTTAAATGTAGGACCTCAAACTATAAAATGATTAAAGATTTAAATGTATAAAGATCCTAGAAGAAAACCTAGGAAACAGTCTCCTGGACACCAGTCTAGGCAATGAATTTATTATTAAGACTCCAAAAATAAAGGCATAAAAAACAAAAATTGATGATCTCCAGCTCCATCCTTTTCTCACTCGCATGTGGGAGTGAGCTAAACAGTCACAAGAATGGAAATAATAGACACTGGCGAAAATAAAACAGGGAAAAAGGGGAGGGGGGCTAGGGTTCAGAAACTACCAATGGGGCACAATGTTCACTATCTTGGGAATGGGCCACCTGATACCCAATCCCCCACCACTACACACTATGTCCATGTAACGAATACACATGTGTACCCCCTGAATCTAAAATTTTAAAAAATTGACAATTACTACTAAATTAAAAAGCTTCTTTACATTGAAAGAAACTATTAAGAGAGTAAACAGACAACCAACAGAATAGGAGAAAATGTTTGCAAACTATGCATCCAGCAAAGGGCTAATAACCAGAATATATTAGAAAAAAAAAATAACCTCATGAAAAAGTGGGAGATAAGGAGCTGGAGACTGCAAGTAAAGACATTATCTTGAAAATATTGATAGGAGGACAGTAGAGACTGAATACCAACTAGAGATGGGGACGGACTCAAGGGAGCAGTTTATTTTGTTTTTAATTTTTATTTTTAGGACAGGAAATTCTAGTATACATATACAGGTTAAGGGGGAAGGTGCCAGTAGTGAGAAGAGCCTGAAGATGTAGGAAAGCAGGCAGTAAAGGGTAAGAGAGAAGGTATGTGAGAGTGAGTGTCAAGAGCATTTAGCAGCCTAAAAATGAATGAAATCATGTCCTTTGTGGCAACATGGATGGAGCTGGAGGTCACCATCCTAAGTAAACTTACAGAGAAACAGAAACCAAACACCACATGTTCTCACTCATATGTGGGAGCTGAATAGTCACAAAGATGGAACTAATAGACACTGGGAACACCAATAAGGGAGGAAGTGGGGAGGAAGGTTAGAATTTAGAAACTACCTACGGGGAACAGTGCTCACTATCTGGGGAATGGGCCACCTGAGACCCAATCTTTACCATTACACAATATGTCCATGTAATGAATACACATGTGTACCCCCTGAATCTAATATAAAAACATTTTTAAAAAGAGCACTTGTCAAAGGTGCTGACTACGGACAAGGTGGGTGGGGAGTCCCTCTCATTTGCTTCTGTGCTACTATAAGTCACTGTGCTGGTATACGCACACTGTGGGTGGTGGGACAGGAAGCCAAGAGCCATTGTGCGTGGTGGGCAGCCTTACTTTTCTCAGTGAAGTGTGGGACAGGGAGGGGGCAGGGTATGAGAAGGGCAGGCAAAATAGTGAACATCTGAATTAGGCACTGAGGAGAAAAGGAGAGGGAGCTTGTTTGCAGCCAGTAGAAGAACTGACTGGTGGTAGATGCTTAAGGTCCAGCAGAATAAGGTTGCCACACATGAATTTTTGGGACAGTCTGTCTAGTCATGTGGTTTGTTTAAGCAGCTATCAGTGATCCAGGTGCAGATTATACCCTGACCCAGGAAAAGGACTTTCCTCTGTGGGTGCAGTAGAAGGGCATGGCAACATGGAAATTTAGGATATAGAGAAAGGGCACTACAGAAGATCCACCATGGAGCCTAGGGCAAGGAAAAGGAAGAGGGTAGAAGGGAGATGATAAACTGAAAAGAAATAGAGGGGACGAGGAATTGTGGGTCTCTTTACAGGCTGGGGTTAAGAGAATGAAAGGGCTAAAAGGGTAGTACCAGATTAATGCCACTGTATATCCATGACCTTCAGACTCAAGTGGGTCATTGACACTGCCTAGAAATCTTACCATAAGACAGGTCATTCCCCAACTCCCCACAGTGATTACTTGATACCTTTTCTTGAGCTCTGACCCATCCCCACTTGCATACCCCCATTCTCAGGAAATGATCTCATCCTGTTTGTAATTTAAAGAAAAAATGGAACTCATCAATGGGAACTCTAAAATCTACAAATAGTCCTGCATTCACCCTCTTGTTTCAACGTGTCTCATATTCCATCTAAGGGCAACACTCCACCTGTTCTCTGAATCTCACCCTTCCTGGCCTTCCTTGATCCATCATTTATCTTCCTTCTCACCTTGGTATCTCCAACCACTCCTTCTCTACTGACTCCATCTCATCAGCTGAAATATATGCTAATTTTTTAAAGTAAAGGGAAAAAAAGTCAGCTGGGTGTGGTGGCTTACACCTATAATCCCAGCACTTTGGGAGGCCAAGGTGGGAGGATCGCTTGAGGCCAAGAGTTTGAGATCAGTCTGACAAACATAAGGAGAACTGATCTCTAAAAAAAAATAATAAAAAAAAATGTAAAAGTCCTCTTTACCACTACATTTTTTCAGAAACCAATTTCTCACTTTTATTCTTCACAGTTTAGCTTCTTCAAAGAGTCTTTTCTATTTGCTATCTTCATTTTTGGCCTCCCTTGTATTCTTTGACCCACTCACAAAACTTATAGTTTACTTGGAGACACAAATAAGTCAACCTTAAGTCAGGACAGTGTGATAAGTAATACAATAGCTGCTGTACCACTCCATATACCACAACCATGCTCACAAGTGTCACATTGCACTGTGGTTGCTATTTATTTGTCTGTATCTGTATCATCCAGACTACAAGCTATTTGAGGGCAGAGATGCTATCATGGTTACCATTATTTCCTCAGAACCCAGCACACTGGCTGGCAAGTAAAAGGCATTCACTGTCTGCTGGATGCTTAAAGTATATATGCTTACACATAGAATATATGTATTTGGATTTTTAAAAATATATAGTGTTCATTATCAGCAATAAAAAATGGGGCCATTAATTGACTTTATCTACTCATATTTGTTTTATATAAGAGGAAGCTTACAACTTAAGGAATTTTAGGAGGCTATTTTTAACAGTAGCATATAGAACTGACAGTCACAACTAATGAGTAAATTGATTTATTTGTCACTATAAAACCTGATCAGAAGAAAAATTGGGTATACTCCTGAAAAGTAAGTGATCAGAATGAGAAAAAACTAGAGGCATAAAGACATTCCTATGAAATTGGGAATGAAGAGGAGGAAGATGAAGAGAATACTGAAATACACAATGGTAGTGAGAAAATATCATAACTGAGAATGTGTGTTGAAATTCATTTACACTAGGCCTACTGGTGGACATATCGCTACTGATTTAGGGTTGTCATTTTCTCTAAGATTTTTACATGTATTCTCTGAAAATTCTCTTTTTCTTCCCATAACAATATATTTTCTTTTTTCTTTTTTTTTTTTGAGTTGGAGTCTCACTCTGTCGCCCAGACTGGAGTGCAGTGGCACGCTCCCGGTCACCGCAGCCTCGACCTGCTGGGCTCTGGTGATCCTTCCACCAGCCTTTCAAGTAGCTGGAACTACAGGTGCGTGCTATCACACCTGGCTAATTTTTTGATTTATTGTAGAGATGAAGTCTCGCCAAGTTGCCCAGGTGGGTCTTGAACACGCGGGCTCAGGCAATTCACTCACCTCGGCCTCCCAAAGCGCAGGATTACAAGTTGAGCCACTAAGCCTGGCAATATATTTTCAATTGGTCAAAAATAGTGGTCAAAATCTAGTCTTTAGTCGATTTTCCTAGACTAAATCTGTTATATAAGATGCAATTATTCATTCTGCTAGATGGAAACCTAAAGAAACCAAAGCTATTACATTATGCTATCATGTTTTATTTTTAAATGCATTAGAAAGTACTACATGTTAAGTATCCCTAACCTGAAAAATCTGAAATCCGAAATGCTCTGAAATGCGAAAAAAATCTAAAATCCTAAGCACTTCAGACCCCAAGCATTTCAGATAGGGGATACTTAACATATTAAACTATGTGGTTTAATATACTTTATTTTGCCAGTACTGATTTATACATAGTACCATGTAGATTAAATTAGTAACACTTATCAAAAAGTATAGGACCTGAGATATCATCTCACAACTGTTAGGATGGCGATCATAAAAAATACAAGAGATAGTAAGTATTGGCAAAAATGTAGAAAAAAGGGAACCCTTGTATACTGTTGGTGGTAATGTAAATTGCTACAACGATTATGGGTAACAGTATGGAGGGTCCAAAAAAATTTTTAAATGGAACTATCATACGATCCAGCAACCCTGCTCCTGGGTCTATATTCAAAGGAAATGAAATCAGTATCTCAATGAGATATCTGCAGTCTCACGTTCACTGCAGCATTATTCATTGCAGTCAAGATTTGGAAACAACCTAAATGTCCCTCAATGAAAGAATGGATTTAAAAAAATGGAATTAATCAGGCTTAAAATATCTTTAAAAATGCCATTTGTGACAATACAGATAAACCTGGGGGACATTATGCTCAGTGAAACAAGCCAGACATAGAAAGGAAAATACATGATATAATTTGTAGGTAAAATCCAAAAAAGTCAAATTCATAGAAGCAGAGAGCAGAATGGTGGTTGCCAGGGACAGAAGGTAGGCAAAATGGGGAAATGTTAATCAAAGGGTATAAAATTTCAGTTACACAGGAAGAATACGTTTTGAAGATCTAATGTACAGCATGAAGACTACAGTTAATAATACTGTATTGTATACCTAACATTTGCAGAGAGTAGATCTTAAGTGATCTCAAAACAAAATAAAGTAACTATATAAAGAGATGGATATGTTAATTAGCTTGACTATAGAAATCAGTTCGCCATGTATATGTATAAAAAAACATGTTGTACACCTTAATATATACAACTTTAATTTAAAAATAGGACTGAATTTACCTGTTGATCTGAATCTGCTTTTAGTACAGATCTATCTGTAATCAGGATGGCCCTGGAGATCTGCCTGTAATGCACAAAACAGTAAAGCATGATTCAGATTCCATGGAGTAGTTTTATATATATATACACACACACACACACACAAAAACACACACACATATATATATATATAACCACAGAAGGCATGTTGAAAAGATTTGAGTCAGGATAACAGTGGCATCTCCCAAAACCAAGTGAACCTTGGCTTTAATCTTTTCTTGGCTGAAGAACGAAGGATGTGTGACCTACAGACAAACCCTAGCTAAAGCAAAGGAGTTGAAAATTATGATAAGATCCTCAAAAACCAAAACGTATAAGAGGAGTAAGATCCCAAACATATTTTTGGTTTGGTATACAGTTGCATGTTACTTAAAGAATACAATCATAGAAACATCAATACAACCGCCCAGCTAAATTTTCCTAACTTTCTCCTTCCCTTGGCTAGCCAGTTGAGTGGTGCCTTACCTGTATTGCACACGTGAACATGTACTCTCAGACAAGTAACTGTCCTCCACAAGGAAATGCTTAGACATTATTCTCTGACCAAAGTGATCTATGATCGCTTTACATCTATAGAAAATAAGCATATAAAAAAATGTTCACATTAATGATTGAATAATTGAGAAAATAAACATAATCGGGTAACAATTTTGAATCTAAAACCAAATTCTTGCAAAGATTAAAGAATTGCCCACAATTCCACATTTTCTGATACAAAACTGATACTAAATTACATAATATATATTCCTGTTGCTATTTTGAGGTCTTTTAAACTATAAAATAAATGTAGAATACAACTCTAACATTTATTTATTTTGAATGTCATTAGTAAGTAGAATGAAGTTAGGACCAGTATTATGGTATAATTATAAGCTTTCCTCATATTTAGGAACACTTTTTCTTTGTTTGGAAAACAGGCTCTTACTCACTCATGCGCTCTCTATCTCTCTTTAACAGCTCAAAGAAAAGTAAAAGAGAAAAGTTGATTAAATATCTTGTTATATCCTTCATAATCTGTAAAAGCCACTAAAGTCTTTTTGTTTTTCTGTTAAGTATTGCTTTCTCTTTTGTTTGAGAATAGCTATCTGGTCACATGTTTGATGATGTTTTCAACAAAACAAAACAAAAACAGAAAACAAAAACCCAAACAACAAAAAACCCAGATAGAGTTTCTTTTAATATCTGTTTCCACTTCAAAGGATGATCATAGAAAGATTTCTTTCAAGTGCTGTCACCAAATAAGGCAAACACTTATGCATGGACATTATCAGGTCTCTGTCATCTGATATGTGTTGGGACAATGAATCATATAGACCTCCATTGACCTTCTTTCAATGTGTCTAGATAAAAGGATGAAAATTAGAATCCATCTCCTTGCAGTGCCACAAGTTATAAATGTACTTTATAGGGCTCATTATCCAAACTAATGGACTAAGGGTGACATCCTTGAAATGGACTTACCAGTACTGACAAAGCCAGTATGCAATATTTTAGGAACTATATGCAAATGACTGTGTATTTGCTATATCTTTTTAATATGGAAATATCAATTTACTTTTGTCACAGCTTCTCCTTTTGAAGCTAGAATTATTTTACTAGACATACACTTATATGTTGTTGCCTCTCAGAAAATGCAAGCAAATAATTTCAAACTCATACCATATTTTAATATATATGTTCAGTCATTGAAAAATAAACCAAATAAGTGCTATTTACCAGGCATAAAAGGATTAAAAATAAAATTACTAACAACCAAGACAACAGTAAGAGGAATTTAATTTGCATTTCCTAAGGGCAGATGTTGAAATTCTGATATTCTTGAATAAATGGCATACAACTGTTTTCAGGATAGACTATGGTGTCTAGTGATGTTATATATACATATTTTAACCAAATAACTACATCGTAACATAACATTTGTTATATTGCATTAATATTTATGTGATTACAATCTTACCCCACATCTTTAAAATATAAAAAAAATTTTAAGTAAAAAGTATATATATTTATGTGATTTTTCCTATCTCATCTCTACTTCCTTTTCTCCACTTCTGTCTCTATCCATACCTCTTCACATTTCATAAACTAGAGTTCTTAACTTATAAAATACTTAACTAAATAGATACAAAGTATTTATACCTAAATATTTTCCAAAATAATTATATAAAAACTGAAAAGGAAGGTTATTTACTCAGTCTCCTATTTTAAAATATTCATATACCATTTGAAACACAAAGTACTTCAGGCAATGAATGGAGAAGAGGAAGCGGCAATCTGCCATTAAACACTGATCCCTATTTGTCCTGTAACCACTGACAAGACTTTTTCTTACCTTTAATTCAGAGACTATGGGAAGTCAAGAGGGAATAACTAGGCAGAAAAAGGGATGTGTTAATTGCTTTATATCTTGATAGAGGCTTGAGTTATATAGATTTATCATTTATTAAAACTCATTTAAGGAGCAATTAAGATTTGAATACTTCACTGTACATAAATTTTATATCAAAAGAAAAACACTAAAATATTGAACTCTAGCTAATGATATGCATGCTAATGTGACTAATAAAAATATAATTCCTATAGAATACAAAAGTACAGCTTATTTTTATATTATAAGAAATGTATTTAAAAGTTAAAAAATGATATGCATGGTAAAGTGTCTAGGGAGTTGCTGATATCTCCAATTTACCATGAAATGCATAAAAAGATGAATCAATAGATGGATAGAAGGATGAATATTTGGGTAGATATATGATTAAGTGTATACTAAAATGCTGATATAAAATGGCAGGGGGTGGATGTTAGTAATAAATCCTGTACTTGAGTGTAAGTCTTTGCAAAGGGTTCCTATTTAAATAAATTATATAATTAAACCTGGCCCTCAAGTTTGTCGAGACCTCCATGATATGTATGCTTCCAAACACTAACTGGGCTGCTTTGGTGGTAGCCACATCTTTAGTGAAAGGTAGACATTGTTTTCAGAAGTTATACCATTAGAAACAACTACTGGGGAATTACTCAAAAAGGAAGTATGGGTATGTGAGGATTAGGGAGCTCAACCATACAATAGCAAGATACTAAATAATGTGTCTATTTATGCTGAAAAGCTTCTAATGAAACAGTGATTCTCAAAGGAGGAGGAGGAGGAGGAGGAGGAAGCAAATCAGAATCACACCTGGGGGACTTTTTCAAACTATAAGTACCCCTGGAGATTCTGATAAGCTCCCAAATCCCAAGAAAGAATCACTGTGAAGTGTGCCACTGCTACTGTTGTATCTTTATATTGTCTTAGGTGGAGAAAAGTCAAAGGCTATTGGTACAGAGAAAATGTTTGATTTTACAGAAACTGGTGATTGTTATATATGCCAAAATCTCAGTCTGGTAGATGATGATAACATGACTCACCTGATAAAAGCAGTCCAAACCAAGGCATGTTTAAACAAGTGATAAGATTTGTTTTCCCCTCAGATACTTGACCTACTGTCATATAACCAGCCTAATTGGAAGAACAATGAATAAAAGAATATTGATTTGGGACCTAGATTTAGTCTTTGTATTATAAAGACTAATATATAAAAAAGATGACATTTAAGTAATGGAAAATAGGAAAACGAAACAGTACTGCCAGAGACATTGAAGCACCCTTCTGCCCACCCCTCCCACATAAACATGAGGAAGCCATTAAAGATTAATAGCATTTAGTTGAGGAACTTGCTGAGCCTCATAAATAGTACATTGAGGAGGAACATCATAGGAGTCCCCAGTTATAGGGACACAATGACCAAGCTGATCACAAGAATCACTGAAACCAGACAGAATATTCCTAGAGCTAAGCTTCCCAAATCAACAAATCACAACAATTATTCAGTTCTTCAGTTTAATGCTAAGAGGGTATAAACAGCAAAACAATGTTAAGGAAGAAAACACTGAGCAAGATAAATACTCAAAATCTAGAATTTGGCCCAGAAGAGAAAAATAACATTAAAACAGGTATCCAGTCTCTATAATCTTCAGAATAAATAGCTCACCTAATTGCATAGCAAAGAAAGCAGAAATCACACATGAAATAATTAAAAGAAAAATATCTTAAGGAAATTAGAACATTCCCAGTCATTGAAGGAAACAAAATAATTTTCCCTAAATCACTACACCTTTTTGAGCTTTCTCAAACACATTAATTCAAATGCCACCTCATCTATGAAACCATTGCAAAATGCTTCCCACTCATTTGCCTTGGGTGAAAATATACTCCAGTAGTTTTAAACACCATTAACAAGTAGAAAACTCTAAATCTATGATTTTCTGCTCTGACTTCTCCTAAACTCTGCATCCATATTTTTAACTGTCTAGTATTTATTTATTTTTGTATATACTTCAAATCCACTTTCAATAAATATTTAATTGACAAATATCAAGGTGTACAACATTATGATTTTATAACATATACAATGTGTAATGATTAGCAGACAAATTAACACATCCATCACCACTTACAGTTACCATTTGTGAGGCGGGGAGGGGGTGAGGATACTTAAAACCTGCTCTTATCAAACTGAAATTAAACAATACAGTATTATTAACAAAACCCTTTTTAAAAGCAGCATGCCCCAAATTGAATTTATAATGGCTCACCTGTTCCAACCAGCAGAGTTTCCCTACCTTAAATCTTTCTTCTTATGTCTAATCTGCTACTACATTTTTATTTTGCCTTATAAATAGTTGCTGAAACTACTTCTCTCCATCTCCACTGACATTGCTTTAGACTCTTATTATGTCTAATAAGACCATACACTGTTAGCAAATTGGTAGTTCAATTGTTCAACATAAACATATGGCATAACAAGCACGTGCTGAGCACTGTTCTAAGAAGAAAAAATAAAAATGCCTTGTTCTACAGCAGCTCCTAATATAATGAAGGTTCAGACACAGGCAATGTGAAAACAATGACAAAGTCCAGTGAAAAGAGATAAGGACAAGGCACTGTAGAGTACTAAGCAGAGGTCACTAACTCACCTTAGGGTGGAGTGTCAGGGAATGTTTTTGGAGGAACTGACACATTTGCTGCCTTTAAAGTATCAAATACAGTTAAAGCAAGCAAATAAGGAGGCCATCTCAGGTATAAGAGCAGAATTTGCAGGGAAACAGATGCGAGTAAGACAGGAGCAAGGACAGAGATCCCTGAGCAGTTCAGTATTTTCTGACTATAAAATAGAAAGAAAGAAGGGAAGAGAGACGAGGCTAGAGAAGCAGGCAGAGGCTAGACTGCAGTTTTCTGTGTCATGTGAAAGGGTTTTAGACTTTATTCTGTGGTAATATAAAGCCACTGAGGCTTTTTAAATAGGGAGGGAGAGAGCCAGACCTGAATACTAAACAGATATCAATGTGCAATTATCTTCTTAATTTTTAAAAAGCTGGAATGGCAGTTATGGCTTTATTCTTATCCTTATTTATTTATTTTTTGAGTTGGGGTCTCACTCTGTTGCCTAGGCTGGAGTGCAGTGGCACCATCATGGCTCATTGCAGCCTCAACTTCTTGGGCTCAGGTGATCCTTCCACCTCAGCCTCCTGAG